CGGGTCGTTCTTCGAGGACGTCTCGGGCGGCTGGGGCCTTCGAGGGCCCAAAACCGTGCGGCGACTGACCGCGCAGTGAGGTCTCTTGGGGTTCCGAGGTCGCCACGCGGTCCGTCACGCTTTTGAGACCCCCGAGCGTGGGGGGGGCGGGATAGGCTCAGCGCCTATCCCCCCTCAAGGTCAGGTTTCGGGCGTTTTCGTCGGTTCGCGACGTTTTTCGAGCTTCGGGAGGCGCTCCAGCAGCTGCGCCTCGCCGATGGCCCTGTGCGGGTGCCCCGATCGTCCCGATCGGCCGCCAGAGACTGGAAGTGTGGCCCGAACGCCAAGCGACGAGGATCTCCCGGGAGGCTGGCTGGGGGGTACAACGTGGGCGTCGCGTAATGGGGGGATCGTAAATCGGGGGGCGGCGAGGGTGGTCCGAAAAGGTACCCAAACGGTACCTAAACGAGCCCCCTGGGGCTCTGGAGGGGCCCGAAAGGGGCACGAAAGGGGACCTTTTCTGACCCCCCCATCTGTGACCCCCCCATTAAGCCACGCCCAATACAAAGTTTGCTGCATGCAGCTGGCTTCGACGCCGCCGCCGGGGGCTCTCCTCGACACGTTGGCGCCTCCAGCGCCGTGAGGCGCCGGGTAAGTCAGCTGCGTGAGCTGATCGACCAATCTCCCGTTCGCTATCCCCCCCTTTTCGCCCGACCAGGAGCGGAGCGTCAGCTGCATGAAGAAGGTACAACATAAAGAGGAGAACAAGGAAACGCAAGAGGGTGGTACACGCAACGTTTCAGCAGCCTTACGCAGAGGGAGGCCCTGGGGCTCGTCGTCGTCGTCTCCCTCGTGGTTGTCGTCGTTGTCCTCTTCTCCTCCTCCTCCTCCTTGTCTTCCTCCTCCTCCTCCTCCTCCTGCTCATCCTCCTCCTCTTTTTCCTCCCAGGAGGAGGGGGAGGAGGGCGCGCGCGCGGGAGCTTGCGCGGAGGAGGAGGTAGAGGAGAGGGTTCGTCGTCGTCGCGGTGGAAAGGGTGGTGACCTTCTTCGTGGTCGTGGTTGTTGTGGTCATCGTCGTCGTCGTCGCCGCCGCCGTCGTCGTCCTCCTTCCTCCTCTTCCCTCCCTCCCCCCCTCCCCCCCTCCCTCTCCCTCTCCCCCTCTCCCTCCCGCTCCTCCTCCTCCTGTCGCAGCGCGCCTCCGCGCGTTCCCAGCTCCGCGGTGCCTCCGCCGCGGGCGGAAGGCGTGGGGGCCCCCCCGGACCACCAGGGGACCCCTGTTTCCGGTTACGGGCGGGGGAGGGGGAGGAGGCCACCTGTCCGTCCTACACCCCGAGGCTCACTCAGAAGAGCGGGGGGGAGGGAGAGGCCCGCTCCTCGTCCCTACAGCGCAATTGATGTAGACGTGGTATCTTGTTAGTAGCGTAGTACTTGCCGTACCCTTGTCCGAAACGCTTTGTCAGCCCTGGCTGGCCTCGCCTTGAGTGTCTCTGGCACCCAAGGTTGCCGTGGTTCTTGAACCACATTCTTCACGCTCCGATGCAGGATTGTTTTTGATGTTGTGCCGACAACATGTTGTACAGATGTCTTCACCTCTGCGGCTTCCGCCAGATTGTAGCTCTGCCTACCGTGGACTCTCCGCCGTCCTCCGTGTAGATGTGTTTCCGTGTGTTCCCCTGGCAAGCCGTAGTTGTTGATCCAAGGCCTGTGGCTCCGACTGTAGGTCCAGTCGTGGACGGCCCATTTGACTTTATTTACGCCCTTCTGCATCGTGGCTGATGACACTCGGCCCCCACTGCACGCTCCACTGCCTGCTGCTACTTGCTTGTCCTTATCGCAACAGCCTGTCTGAGCCTGTAACTGATGACGTCTGGTATCCAGCGCTCGCACCACTTCCTGCTGCCACTGCCGTAATTTCTCTCACACGCTGTTGCCAGTCTGTATCTGATGGCGTCTTGTCTTCTACATGTCTCGCAGCACTGCCTGCTCCCGTTGTCTGCATTTTGCGCGCACCCTGATTCGTGATTGTAGTTGATGCCGTCTGGTATCCAGCACATGCGACGTCGTCTGGCACCACTGCCAACTCCTCTCGCACGCTCTCGTTCGCGCAAGCAGCTGGTGATGTCTGGTATCCTCCTTCGTAGTCGATGGCATTGGACTCGAGCTTCGAAACGCACCCCTCGTAGCTGGTGGCAACGGGCACGCGCTTCGCGAGTCCGTTCTCCGCCGTTGGGCGTCCAACGTCGTAGCTGATGGCATCGGGCTCGTGCTGCGCGTCGCGCCCATCGCAGCTCGCGACGTCGGGCCTGCGCCTCGTGGTGCCAGCCAGCCTCGCAGCCGATGGCGTCGGGCTCGTGCTTCGGTGTGCCACTCTCTTAGCTGCTGGCACCAGGCTCTTGCTTCTCGGCGCCCCGCTCGTACACCTTAGGCGATGCTTAAGAAAACTTAAATGTTCGGCCAGGGTCTCGATTATTCTTAATGTTTCAATGTAGATCCTAAGATTTTAATAGAAATGTTGGGTTTTTAGTCAAGTTCTGAGACTATGAATTTCTTAACCCATGATTTCTTAAGCATTTCGCAGGGTGTAGCCGATGACGTCGGGCTCGTGATAAGCGCCACCACCCTCGTAGCCGATGGCTTCGGGTTCGTACTTCGCGTTGCCGTCCTGCTGCCACTGCCCACCTCTGCGACTGCCCAATTTCCCCCTCTGGGTCCTCCTCCACGCTCTCTCTATGTCTTCCTCCTTACCTTCTGGAGCCTCCTCCTCCTCCTCCTCCTCGTCGCCGATGTCCTCCTCCATCGTCGTCTGAGCCTCCCCGTCTGAGCCACCCAAACTGTCAATGTCCCACGTTTCTTGAAGCGGCTGTATGTGATGACGGTCTCGCGGCTAGAGCATCGGCGCATCGAATCTCAGCGGCTTAGACGTGGGCGCGTCAACTTGCAACGTTGAATCAACATTATGTGTATCTGCACGCTGGACGCCTGCTGCCTGCTCGGGGGGCGTCAAGAGTAGCCCGCGGTGTAGCTTTATGGCTATATCTTTCCAGTCCCGCGACCTTCTGCGCTTCCTCCTGCTGCGTATGCTACACGACAAACCGCCTTGTCTAGTGGTCTCGACTCTCGTCGGGGTCCCGGTGACTTTGTAAAAACCATCCGGAAGCGCGAACGCACGCGCCCGATGAGGCCGGCGCCTCTTTGGGTCCCAGTGCGGTGGCGCGGGGGCCAGTGCCCAGGATTGGCTTGAGCCAAAAAGGCTACGGACCCTCCTCCTCCTCCTCCTTCTCCTCCTCCTCCTCCTCCTCCTGCTCCTCCTCCTCCTCTTCCTCGTCGTCGTCGTCCTCCTCCTCCTCCTCGTTCGCCCTCGTCTTCCTCTTGTGCGTGCGCTTCCGCGCGCGCGCCCTCCTGCTCCTCCTGCTGCTCCTCCTCCTCCTCCTCCTCCTCCTCAATGGGTCTTCTTCCCAGGTAACAGGCGGGTTGCAGCCCGATCGTCGCCCCGTTCGTGTCTGTCCGAGGGTCGTGGGCAATCGCGATGTTCGACTGGCGGGCGAGGGAGAGACTCTTGCATCTCGTCGCCACGTTCTCACCCACTCTTCCCACGGCCAGGGTTCCCGCAGTGTTGTGCGTGGGGTTCGGTCACGCTGGGGGAGTGGTGCCCCTCGTGTGGCTGATCGGGGCGACACGGTACTGGAGGCGCGTCGTTGTTTGAGGCCCGAAAGGCCAGACGCAGCTCGAAAAAGGCGGTGCCAGAAGTGCCTCGTCATCTGAGCGTGGCGCCAAGAATACGCCGTCTTTGAGCGATGGAAGGCAGTTGTGCGTTGTGATTATTGTGGCCGGCCTGTCGCTGCCATGTTTTTTTTCCAACCATCCTGTGGTGTTGGGTCCTCGTTTTGAAGAGAGCGCCCCGCGTCCCACCTCCCACCACCTCAACTCCCGCTGCCCCCTCCCCCTCATCCCGTCTCCCATCCCTTGCCTCTGCTCTCTGCATGCCCATCCCATTCTGACATACCCCACACGGTTCGTGGCCCCAAAGGGAGCTCCACCGAAGGCCCCAGCGGGAGCGTCCGCATGGCACCGCCGCCCCATTTTGGCACACCCCTTACACGGGTCGTGGCCCCATAGGGAGCTCCACCAAAGGCCCCAGCGGGAGCGTCCGCATGGCACCGCCGCCCCATTTTGGCACACCCCTCACACGGGTCGTGGCCCCATAGGAAGCTCCACCGAAGGCCCCAGCGGGAGCGTCCGCATGGCACGGCCGCCCCATTTTGGCACACCCCTCACACGGGTCGTGGCCCCATAGGGAGCTCCACCGAAGGCCCCAGCAGGAGCGTCCGCATGGCACCGCCGGCCCATTTTGGCACACCCCTCAGACAGGGAGCTCCACAGAAGGCCCCAATGGCGACGTTCGCAGAAGTGCTCCCGACTCATTTTGGCGCACCCTTTCACACGTTTTGTGGCAGAAGGCCATACCGCGTGCGCTACTCGGAGTTTGCGCGCCCCCCTCCTTCGTCTCATCTCCCCCGCGGCACTCGCAGCTGCATATGGTTGGGTCCTTCGTCAGGCTAATTTGCTGGAGCGTGGCGCCAGGAGTGCGCAGTGTTTGAGGGATGGAGGGCAGTTGTGCGCCGTGCTGCTTGTGCCAGCCTGTCGCTGCCATGCTCGTCCTTTTTTGCTGGTGCTTCCCTCTCGTGCAGCGATATGTGAAGCTGTCGCGTGGCCGCCTCCCGCCGTGCTCCCGGAGTGGGCGATCGATGGCAAGCTCTGTTTTGCGGTGTGTGTGCCTCGAGGCTCGAGGCCGGGCCGCTCGAAGAGGCATTGCCAGTCCCGTGCTTCTGCCCAGCACGGTGATGTCCTTCTGATGGCGCTCCCATGGTTTTCCTCCTCGTCCTCCTTCCTCCTCCTCCTCTCGCCCGCCTCTGTCCGTCTTCTTCGTCCCTCTCCTCCAGCACCCCCCCCCCTCCCCTCCTCCTCCCCCGCTCGGGCGTCGGCTCCCCCCCCCCAGAGCGCTTGCGAAGCAGCGCGCGGCAGGCGAGCTGCCGACCGCGGGCCAGCTGCCGCCCGCGCCCCCGCCCGGGCGGCCCGCCGAGACCGCCCGCGCCGCGCAGGCGGGCCGCCCGCCCGTCCGCCGCCGGCGCCTTCTGCTGCCGGTGGTGGTCGTCGTGGTGGTCGTCGTGGTGCTCGAGGCGTTGGGGCGTTGCGGGCCTTCTTCGGTGCCGGCGGTGGTCGTCGTCGTGGTGGTCGCGAGGCTCGAGGCGTTGGGGCGTTGCGGGCCTTCTTCGGTGCCGGCGGTGGTCGTCGTCGTGGTGGTGGTGGTCGTCGTGGGGGCTCAGGGGGCCTGCTGGGAGTTTCGGGGGGCTTTCGGCAATCCTCGAAGCCCTGGGCGGTTTCCATCAGATGCGCGATGCGCCTCGTCGAGGGCCTTCCAGAGATGTGGGGATGGTCCCAAGCGGCCGCCAGCGGCTGCAGTTAATATCAGAGGGCCAGGGAGAGGAAGGTCGGGGGCGACATATCCACGCCCTCACGGTCTGGATTCCGGGGCGCGATCCCGTGGAGTGCGCGGTCGCGTGGATGCGTTCCGCGCGGGGCTTCCGCGAAAAAGTGCCCTTTGTCCACGGGTTCGCGGCCCAGGGGCCTGGCCTTCGAGGCTCGTGATGCTGTGGATACGGATATGTTTCCCTCCGACGATCGTTTTCTTGGTCGTCGTGGTCGTCCTTGTCCTCGGGGCCGTCATGGTCGTCGTGATCGCATTGTCGTCGTTGCGCTGCTGCTCCGCCTCCGCCCTCACCACGTTTCCGAAAAACTCCTCCCTTTCGCACCCCTAGGGGTGTTCGTAGGGCTGGCTGGGCGTTTCGCCTGAGACTCCTCACCATTTATTATCTTGAAGCTGGAAACAGTTTCACGAATGGAAGGGGGCCGTTTTCAACATGTGTGTCAAAATTTCTTGCAACATCGTTGATGAGTCTTGGGTTTGCACTGGTCCTCCTCCTGTTGCGTGGGTGGGGCGCCTCAGTCTCCATCATCTCCGAGACGCTAGTGCCGCAGCTGGTGGGGCTGTGGGGACGACATCCAGGGCCTTGCTCATAGTGAGCGGTCGAGTGGGACGCAAAGGCGTTGCCCTGAGCTCGTCAAAGAGGAGATAGGCACCAGCAGGCACCTCAAGGGATCGACGGGACGGTGCACTGGTCCTCCTCCTCCTCCTCCTCCTCCACCACCACCACCACTACCTCCTCCTACTCCTCCTCCGGCGTTGGAATCCCGAGAACAATGTTTTGGCATGCTTAAGGGTCTTCAAACGGTTGTCTTCCAACGGGGTATTTCCCTCAGTGGAAATGAACCGGTGTAGGGGCCAATGTAGAGAGAGCTCGGAGGGAGGGTTCATTCCAACATCGTTGATGACTCTTGAGTTTACACTGGTCCTCCTCCTCCTCCTCCTCCTCCTCCCATCCAGCTCAAATCAAATCAGAAGCGGTCCCCAGGCCCTTCCCAAACACCGCGCGGACTGCTCGTCGCCGCCGCGCCTGGCCGCGGCGACGAAGGGGACCTCTCAGAAGGCTAGGACAACAAGGAAGAGGAGGAGGAGCAGGAGGAGGAGGAGGAGGAGGAGGAGGAGGAGGAGGAGAAGGAGGAATGCGGACGGGGGTCTTCTTGGAGGGGATCCCCCCCGCCCTCCTCGTTCTCCTACAGTCATCGTGCCACCAGAAGGAACGCCACATAAGGAACGAAATTACTTTTCTTGTTACGGCGAGCGTCCGCAAAGAACAGGTTCCCCGATCTAGACCTAAGGAACGGCCCGAATACCAGAGCGCCTCCTGATCCCAAAGTGGTCCTTATCTCAGCGTCTTGGCTGTAGGTCGGAGGTCTGGGAGGAGGGGACGCCTCCTCCCAGACCGCCGACTTCGTTGTGTTTCCAATGCGTGGTCGATGATGCTGCTAGTCAATATAACAAGATAGAAACTTTGATTCACAACTTTTCCCCGCGATAATGAAGTTCGATTTTGCCGCCCCTCTCCCCCGACCAAACTTGTATTGGCAGGGAATAATAAGCTCGCAGTGCCGAAGGGGGGGGATGATTTATTATCCGGGGGTCGCGGTTACCCATCAAACCACCCCAACACAACCCGAACGGACGGAGGTGTGTCGTTTTCAATATGTTGCCCTCGCCTTAGCGCCGCTCTCATGAGAACATTGCAGCTGTTTCCGGGATTAATGTTTTTTGTTTGTATGTGTGTGTGTGTGTGTGTGTGTGCATGTGTTTTTTCAGCGCCGCGCGCATACGTCTTAAACTTTTGTTTCTGTTACTTCTAGGAACAATGGTGGTCGTTGTTTGATTGGAGTTCTCGCCTTCGCTCCGCGCGCATTCCTTCTTCAGGTCTGCAGCAGCTGCAGGGTTGGAGGTGGTTGTTTTCAAGATGGGGCTCTCGCCTGAGTGCCGCAGATATTTGTTAAAACGTGTATAACAGTTTCACGGATGGAGGGGGGGGCGTTTTCAACATGTGGCTCTCGCTTCACCGCCGCGCATATTTTTCAAAGTGTGCAACAGTTTCAGGGATGGAGTGTGGACAGTTTTCAACCTCTGGCGCTCGCTTTATTGCCGCACATCTCATTTTCTAAAGGTGTGCAGACGTTTCACGGACGAATGGGGGTCGCCTTCAAACTGTGGCCTTTGCCGTAGCGCTGCTCTCATTAGTTTTGAGAGCATTGTAATCGTCTCCGGGATAGAGCGCGTTTTGTTTTCCAACATGCGGCTCTCGCCGTGTAACGCTGCGCACATACGTCTTACATACACCTTAGGCGATGCTTAAGAAAACTTAAGTTTTCGGCCAGAGTCTCGATTATTCTTAACTTTTAATGTAAATCCCAAGATTTGAATAGACATTCTGGGCTTTTACTCAAAATCTGAGACTCTGAATTTCTTAACCCATGATTTCTAAAGCATTTCGCAGGGTGTAGTCGCTCACTGTTCTGGGATGCATGGGGGCCGTCTTTACACTGGAGCTCTCGCCTCGGCTCCGCGCGCTCTCGTTCTTCAAGTCTGCGGCAGCTGCAGGCGTGGAGGTGGCCGTTTTCAAGACAGGGCTCTCGCCCGGGTGCCTCGCACGTTCTTGAGAGCTTGCAACCGTTTGATTCGATGTCTGTTCATGGGAGCCTCGGGTGGCAACATTGGAATCAGCTTTTCCTGCATGTGGACAGCGTGGGGGCCACATTTGGCCCATCCTCCTGCTCCTCCTCTCCCCTCCTGTTCCCCCTCCCCCTCATCGTTCTCCTAGCCCCCACGAATCCAGTCCAAGTCTGGTCCAAATCCGGTCCAAATGTGTTCCAAATCTGGTCCAAATCAGGTCCAAATTGGACAGTGCCGGGGGCCACGCAGGCTCCCATGGAACGGACACCAAAGTTTGACGGGCGCATGGGGGCGTTTTCAAGTTGGCGTGTCGCATCAGCGCAGCACACGTTCATCCTGAACGCTTTCACTAGCTTCACGGACAATGGGCGGTTTCTTTCCAAGCTGTTTTTTTTGTTTGAGCGCCGCGAACATGAGCCTCAATACTTCGTAATATGTTCGAGGATTGAGTGCTGGTAGTGTTCAAAGTGGGGCTCTCGCTTCAGCGCCGCGCGCATTTGGTTTGCAATGCAGCAACTAGCAGGAGGAAAGAGTAATGTTTTGCAACCATGAAGCTCCCGCTGGAGACGTGTTACGTTTAACGAGCCGAAGTTTCAACGCATGTAGGGCTGCACGGATCCATGGCGGCTCTTGAGACTACCTCGAAGTTTTCGCAGCATTTGCACGGATAGGTGGACAGTTCTTCTTCGACAGGGGGATGTCGCAGGACACCTCGTTCAAGTGTATGATCGTTGTCTTTTTCATTCATGATTACGCGCCAGCCAGATGCAACGTAATTCATTTTCAAAGTGGGGCCCTCTCAAGCCAGTTGGCCCATAGGGTCCTCGTCTTTCAATGGGGAACGCTTCTTGTAGTGAACAGGAAGAGTGGTAAGGGCATATGAGGGGGGACTTGAGACTGGGGGGTGTACTGCAGCATCGCTGATGCATCTTTGATTTCCTCTGGTCCCATTATTCCTCCCCCACTTCCCCCTCCTCGCCCTTCACCCCGTTGCGTTTTCTCCTCCTCCTCCTCCACGCGTGGTCGTCGTGGTCATCATGGTCGCTGTGGTCGTCGCGGTCGGTAGGTCGGGGCGGCGGCGGCACATCATTCTTGCCGTTGTTTTCCGAACAGATTTAGCTCCTCCTCCTCTTCCTGCTCCTCCTGCTCCTCCTGCTCCTTATGCTGCTGCTCCTCTTCCTCCTCCTCCTTCCAGAGGCTTGGCGGAGGAAGCCCGAACTCGCGCCCTGTACGCAACAACAGGGAGCCTCTGACAACGAAGTGTGCAGCAGCTTCTTGACTCCTCGGTATCCCTTTGTTGCGTGGTGCTGGTGGTCGTGTTGGTGGTCGCTGTGGTGGTTGTGATGGTCGTGGTTGTAGTGGTCGTCGTAGTCGTAGTGATCGTGTCGTCGTCGCTGCCGCTGCCGCTGCCGCTGCCGCCGCCGCCGCCGCCGCCGCCGTCGTCGTCGTCGTCGTCGTCGTCGTCGTCGTCGTCGTCGTCGTCGTCGTCGTCGTCGTCGTCGTCGTCGTCGTCGTCGTCGTCGTCGTCGTCGTCGTCGTCGTCGTCGTCGTCGTCGTCGTCGTCGTCGTCGTCGTCGTCCGGCTCCTGATGCTTCTCCTGCCCCTCCTCCTCCTCCTCCTCCTCCTCCTCCTCCTCCTCCTCCTCCTCCTCCTCCTCCTCCTCCTCCTCCTCCCTCCCAGACCTCGGGATGATTTCTGATATTTGAGCACCCCGTTGTTTGTTCATAATGTCGGCCTCCTGGGTTGTTTTCGAATGTCCATGGGACCATCAATAATGGATCTGGGATGAAGAGTTGCTGACAGATTCAGGAGACATTAGATTCGGCTTCCTCTTCTCTCATCCTCATCCTTTTTCGCCTCGTCCTTTCGTCGAGGATCGATACTCGGCGGTTAAGGATCGAGGATTTTGTTTCTTCGCCTTGTCTTCCCCGTCGAGGATCAAGGGTCGAGGGTCCAGGATCCCAGTTCTTGCGTTTTTCGGCCTGCTTCGGCCTTGGATGCCTCTTGGAGGCCTTATGAGGCCCCCGTGGGTCTCCGTGGACATTTGGGGGCCCCGCAGGCCTTCGGATACTCTTCCTGTGTCGACTTTCACGGGGGGGGGGCCTCACCCCCCTCCCCTTTCTCTCCTCCTACTTTGTATTCCACGTGCCTTCCTCCCTCCTTCTCCTTCTACTCCTCGTCGTCCTCCTACTCGAACGGCGTCTCTTTGCTCAGTGCCTTGTTTTTCACCTGTGCTGGCCCGCTGCGCTGTCTCGGCTCCAGGCCTGATCAGTGCACCGTGCCCGCTTTCGATTCGCCTTAGACATTTCGGCTCAGACCATCATATGCTGTACTTCATGTACGGAAGACATCGTTTCCTTTCGTACATCATCATTTCTAGTTGGTAGTATCGGAGCAGGTTCACTCTTGCTCCCACCACGGCTGCCATGTTTCGCCTCGCGTCGACTGGAATGGCTTCCACCTTCCGCCGCCTTCGACTTCGGTCAACCGCCGTCAACATTTACGCTTTCGTGCACTTCCTCCCCGTCGCTCTGGCAGGAGACGTTACTTTGCGGTCCGCCGTGGCCGTACCAGCGCTTCCTCCAGGATCCGCGACCGGGGGCGTGCGCTCCGCCTTCCACACTTCCACTTTCGTGCTTTTTTCCCGCTCAGTATGGCAGCATGCGTTGCTCGAGGGTCCGTCGGGGCATCCGCCCATCCGCCAGGACCAGTGACCGAGAACGTGCGCGCCCACTACCTCATCAAGGACGACATCGCCAAGGTCTACAAAAACCGGTCTGCGACCCATCCCGGACATGTTCGGACTGTGTCCAGGCAGTTCGCGGACCCCAAGCCGTCGGTGCCTCCGCCCGCGGGGGTAACCTTTGGTGTTGGACAGTTGCTCGATGCAGCGTCCACGTCTGCGGTGTCAGAACAAGGTCCCGAGTTTCTTGGGGCTGTGTCCCGAAAGCCTTGGAGGAAGCAGTCAGAGAAGAGGCGCCCAGCGACTGTGTCGCTGGTGCCGAGCGGGGGTGCTGTGGGGAGCGTGGGAATATTGTTTTCGCCCTCCCGTGGTAATGCGTTGGAGCGCAGGGCGGCTGGGGCGCCATCGTTCCGAGGCGCCGCGCTTCGGGGCCCGACCTTCCGCTTTGCGTGTTCAGACCCGCCAGCCGGGCAGGGCGGGGTCCCCATGCGCACTCATCTAGACGATCGCGCAAGTGGCGGTGCTCAGCGCAGTGACCGCGCTACGTGCGAAAAGTATTTCGGGGGCTGTGTCGCGGGATGTCATGAGCGCCGTGGGCGCTACAGTGACGCGACATACGCAAACGCCCAGTGCGCTGGCGAGGAGGAACGCATCCGTGATCGTGCGTCGCGCCAACATCGCAGAGTGGAGTTCGTTGGGCAAACGATGGCACGGGCCTGGAGTGTCCTGGATAATGTCGTTCCACATTTCGAGGTGAATTTCGTGCGATTTCTCTTGGGGCCAGGAATGAAGATTCAAAAAGAGCATGCGAAACTCATTTCGTTTTTTACGCGCCGTTTCGGGCAGAATTCCATGCAGAAATCCACGCAGAAATCCGCTTCAGCACGTCTGCAAGGCTGGTGCAATTACATCGGGGGCAAGTATCTCCAGCGACAAATGCAACGCCGTTTCAGAATCCCCAGCCCCCAGCGCCTCTGCGACATGTTGAGGGAGCTAATTATGTTCCGGATGGGGGGCCATCGGGGTCGGCGTGCGCGCCATCGGAATTTGCATCGCATGTGTGGACGCAGCTGGTGGCAGTGGCAACATGCGCCACCTTCGCACTTGGGGGCCGAGCACCAGGCTCGCGTTCCTCTCAAGAAAAGTGTGCGCGAGGTGGTGATATGGTCAGTGGCAAACTCAGACCTCGACGTGTTTCGCCAGGCGACACACGTCTCGCCGCGCCTTGCCGACGTGGCGCGCGAGCACATGGACGAATGGCCGCCGGGTGTCCTCATCCAGGGAGATCTCATCAACGGCAACCCACCGATTTTTTTGTTTTTTTTTTTTTGGGGGGGGGGGGGGCGCAGCTTATCCGAACGATGGGGGCAGTCGGGCGAGGGGGGGGGGCGCGCTTCGGCAGTATCGGCTCTGATGGATTTCGACCGACTGCCGCGGGGGCGCATCTACACCCATCCCAGCGAGGTTCGACACCCTCCGCAACCGGGCGCAGCAAGCTGGTCAACGCATGATCGGCTACGAAGGACTCAGTCTTGATAGTTCCACCAGGAGTAGTTTCTCCTCTGCCAATGGCGCCATAACATGTTTTTGCGGTCTGCGTCGTGGGGGGCCAACGTACCCTGGGGTTGGAACCAAGTCCGATGGCCCTGAGACCCGCCGAAACCAGGTCAACGCCCCCCGCGGGGCAATTTTTTATGAAGGGGACGGTTCGCAGATCCTCCCCGTTGTGCTGAAGCTTTTGAAAGCGCGACGGACATGTTTGAACACCAAACGCGAATGGTGGCTCCTTGTCCGGTGCCTTGTTTCTCACCTTCGCTGGCCCGCTGCGCTGTCGGCTCCGGGCCTGGTCAGTACACTGTGCCCGCCTTAGACTCGCTTTAGACATTCTGTCTTATACCATCAGGCGCTGTACTTCCTTTGTGGGGACACATCGTTTCCCTTTTTACACCCTCATTTGTAGTCTCATCCCTTTCCTTTTCCCCATCCTCGCCGTCGAGGATGGGGAGAAGGAGAACGACGAGTTGGGCCGCGATGGGCAGCCATGCAGGGGAGTTGCGAGGACGGCCAGGGGAGGGGGCCACCGGGGGGGACCACGATGGGGGGCCTCGATGGGGGGCCACTGGGGGGGGGCCACGATGGGGGGTTAATGTGGGGGGCTGTGATGGGGGGCCATGATGGGGGGCCACGAGAGAGTCCACCGAAAGGGCCACAAGGGTGCCACGAGGGGCTCCAGAAGGGGCGCCACACTGGGGGCCACCATAGGGGCCATGAGTGGGGCCACAATGGGCGTCACGGTGGGGGCGAGGCCACGATGTGCGCCGTATCCAATGTGGGGTCACGGGTGGGGCCGCGTGTGCAGATCTTCGACCGCCGACCCGTGACCGTCAACCACCGACCCTCGACTGTCAATGTGTGGCGAGCACCGACGGCGGGCGGCGTCCGAAAGTACCCCTCGCCGGGGCGCCGCCTGCGGCGCGCCCGATCCGATCCGTTGCCGCTGGCCGCCGCCGCGCTGCCACCGCGCCGCCGCCGCCTTGCCATTCGCCCGCCGCCATGGCAGGCGTCCGAAGGCACCCCTGCCCAAGTGCCGCCCGCGGGGCCGCTGCCGGCATCGCTCCAGCAAGTCACTGGCGACGCTTCCGCCGCGGCCACGGCCGCGGACCGCGGTCTCGGCGAGCAGGCGCCGCGCCCGCAGATCGCCGATTGCCGTTGGTCGCCGCCGCAAATCGCCGCCGCAGGCGATCAACGCCGCGATCACATGGCCGTGGCCGCCGCCGCCGTCATCGCCGTCATTTCCGTCGTCGTCGTCGTCGTCGTCGTCG